GATAATACAAACAAATAAATATACTTGTAATCATCTCGACCGCCGCCGCTTATGCTTGGACAGGCAGTTTAGTATAACAATTGTTATACTAATTAGAATTGTTTCTTAAACAACTGTATACAGTTGTTTAAGAAACAATTCTAATTATACATATGCCTCTGTTAACCATTCTAAATATTTTATCGATCCAGTAACTGGCGTACACACTCAAAGTATAGAGAACACTTGGATACGTGTGAAACGGGAACAGAAAAAACAAGGTGGAGTGTGTCGATCTTTGCTTCCTACGTATCTTGAAGAATTTGTTTGGCACCAAGATTTTGGCGATGCACCGTTGAAAAATATTATATTACAAATTAGATCTATTTATCCAGTTCAATAATTATCTTACATGTCTGTCTTTTTTTCGAATAAAATGTGTTCTCTTATGACATCTGCTTCTCCCTGTGTCTCTTATCGATATATAATGGTTAGATAAATAAGCGAATAGAATTTCTTTCGCGTTCTGTCACGTATGTCTATACATATAACAAAGAAGCGGTCGTTAAACTACAGTTGTACCCATTTCTGGACGTTGAGTGGCATGATGTTTGCAAGTCGTGTGCAATGAAAATGAATTGGATGAAATCAATAATAGATTTTTCTTGAAAGAATATTAATTTTGCTTTGATACATCAACCTAGATCAGAGCATTGAGAATTATCCGCAGTGCTGTTCAGATAAGAAATGTTCGTAAAGACAATGGTTTTAAAGTTATGTGTGTTACACTTTGTTGTAGTTTTTTAAAAATAAATCGTGTAGTAGAATAGATTTAAATGTAGATCACGTGGATATATTTATAACTGTATTCTTTTGAAGATAAATGAGGGGTTTCAAATACTTTTGATAATTTATTCGTATCAAAAACGTATCAAAGCAAGTACATTTTACAGATTGACCGTAGTCAATACTACAAAAACAAATTCGATCAATCTATGACAATAATTAAGAGAAAAATTTGACTACAGATAAACGATAATATTTGTACGAACGAACTCAAGCAAGTTCTATATCATATACAGCCGATTCAAGGTCATTTAGTTTTCTTTGCAGCTTACATTTAATAAACTTAAAAACATAAATAAGTGCGATAAGAATTAACATAACCAAAATCGACGATGTCGATGTAGCAATTTCGAGCACTAGTTGTTTGACAGTCGTTTGTTGTGGTGTATAAGCCATTAGTAAATCACTAATTGCTTTTTTCGATTGTATCCGAAAGGATGAATTGATTGTCTGACCATAATTGGGAACAGGTAAAAAGAATTGAGGCATCTTGTGAATATTAAAATTTGGCGTTGGTATGACAGTTATTTGCTCTGATTCACACGAGGCAGGAGGTAATTTAAAATTGGTACCAAGATGTATTTAAAAAACACTACTACTTCACACATTACAATCTTATTTAAAAATGCGAATTTTACTAGACAATATCGTGTGGTTCAGGCAATCTCCCAACTTGAACTTTACGTAGACGATTTAAAACGACTGAACCGGGAGAAACAAGTTTCCAAACTTGATATTTTTCACTTTTTTTGTAAAATAACCATTGTTTATCTTTCATGCGACTAAAATAATCATTTAGTGAATCTGTTATGAATGAATCAGCTGAATGCAAGAGGTGCTGGGGTTTTTGATTTTGCGGCAAATTCAAAATAAACTTAACATTATATCATCCTAATCAGTACACAGCACCGCAGCAATGCACTTAGCACCTTCACACACATCAATAAGCATCAATGAACACTAACTTCGCCGAATTGATCAGACCAATATACAGGTCTTTCGGACATGGAACAAAATAATTATTTATTCAAACATAGACCAGTAACAGATATCGAAGTATTCGTCCTACTCATCCTATATATGATAATATAGGCACAGGATAAAAATAAGTATAGGTGATATTTTAATATTGTGGTATTGCGGTATACTACCAGAGGATGTATAGAAGTAAACTACTATTCCGTATATACCCTCTATATCTCCTGTGTTATTATACCACTATACCGCTCATACCGCTTATACCGCATATACCGCTTATAACACTAACCTTATCATGTATTTTCAACTGCACTTTATAGTTGAGCAAACAGAGTCTTCCTATATTTTGATTTTGTCAAAAATTAGGATTTAATTTAAGAAGGTAATTTGCCGCAAAATCATATTCCCCAGCTTATGTTTAAAATTCTTTCCTCATTCTCACGCATCTCTGCATTATGATAAAATGAATAATTCATATATGCATCTGTCTCAAATACCAATTTTCAAACATTCTATCATGTAAATCAGTGGGAAAAAATTCTCCCCATATACATTCCTCACCAGAAAAGACCAAAGTTCACCTCGACACGACTATATATACGGAAAGCGTTTTTTATATTATATTCATTTGCCAAAACATCTAAAAGTAAGTAAAAAATTTCTTATGCTAAGAAAAAAACATATTACACTTTGCATACATTTTCGTCATAGGAAGCTTCTTTCATAAGAAATATACTATAGTCCTCCCATCCTAAGCCGATCCTTAGCTTATTCTCAATCCCTACTATGCACTTGATGATCATCAATTTACACATGCTGCATTTCCAATGAAAATTATCTAACAACAACTTCCTAAGGCAAATCTCACAATCTTCAACCATACCAACGTTTACAAGGTAAGAAAAGATAAAGAATCTCCAGTCAAGGCCGACGAAAATATTTACAAGATCATTAGTATCGCATAGAGATATTTTCTCTAATGTCAATCAGTATATTTCCTAATGATTTTGCTTGAAATAGAGTTTTCAGTTTTGAAAATGTTTATTTTAAGTTAAATTATACGAAATCATAAGCCATCTAATGAGTCTTCTTGAGCAAAAGACGAAACCGGTCATGGCAGCTCATCGCACCCAAATCTCGACTCGTAGGAAGTCTTTCAGCAGTACACCAAATATACCATTTTCCGCTCATCGTAGTGAAATAACCAGGATCTTGCATAATCTCAGGTAAAACTGCTACTCGGTTGTTTAAGTAACCTTGATATCCAGGTTTTCCTAACCAAATGTCTGGATTAATTACAACTGTTCCTTTCATTTGACCAAGACCAGCAATATTCTTATCGGTACCACTCAAAAATAACGCTCGTCGAAGCTGACTCGCTTGAACCTTGACTGAATTAGCAGCTTAATATGCATTAAACTTCACCAATGTTTCCCATACAAATTGATAGAACGATCTTTTCGAGGATGGCTCTTACTCATCTGACAATTCTCTAAACAAACTTGTGCGCTACGTTGGTCCTTCAATTTATCCGATTTTTTTAAAATGAAAAAAATGTCCGAATAACTTCGTAACTTCGACACAGTGGTTATCATCACCTTACAATCCTCAGTCATCTCTCTGCATTTTTAGTAGTACTATGTATGCTCTTAGACTAAATACGATTACTAACTAACTTCAAACAAAATTTTCTAGATTTTTTTCATTCGTGTATCCGACGACATCACCGAGAGCAGCTCGTCGTTCGACCGTCTCCGAAATCACTGTCCTAGCATCAGAGAAACTATGGGTATCTCCACAATATAGGGCTTGAGGACATGGTGGAGCCAATATTGAAAGTAGATCTTTTTTGGTCTATTGAGTACTTGTCTGTATCATTCTAAAGTTTATTTTACAAACGCAATCATTGTAAAGTTAGACATATTCTTTTAGAGTTCTTTTCGTATGGCAACTTTTTTTAAAAAGAAAAATCGCCAACTTAAAATACATATTCAGAGTATAGAATGGTTTTAGTCCCGAGAACAAAAGTATACTTATATACCTGCTTATCAGTGAAATAAAAGAGAATTTGCAATCGAAAGAACTACAATTGAAATGATGAATAAGGTAGTTTTGGCTAATTTCAGTGAAGGTATACGAATGTAAGCCACTTTATCTTCTTTCTAGAAACCTGGAGCTTTTATTGATAAAGAAGATGATGAATGTATATCAGTATTTGCCCAAATAGATAAAAAGAAAGTAAAAAAACGAACGTGATTAAAAACAAGTCATGACAAAAGAGATATTTATCAAAATTGAATAAATACGTCAAATGAATGCTGATGTTAATCATCATATTGACGAAGAAAATGAATACTTTATTCTGACAAATTGTGATTCTAGAAAAATGAAAAAGGTCAATTATTTTCAAAAGATTACGAGACTTTATTTAATATGTTATATAAATTAATCAAGAATTTTAAGTCTAATTCAATTCAAAAGGAAAAGTTCTTAGAAAAACGTGTTAGTTTTTTCTTCAACCATATTTATTAAAGTAAATATAGAGAAAAATGAGAACTATTAATTGGGAGGAAATCAACGATTCAGTATCATTTTTATACCAAACACGTATAAGGTAATCATCTGATAATATATTTTATCAAAAATAAAACGCATTTGGGTTACAAAAGAAAACCTTGTTCAATATGTGGAAATTTCACATACTCGTCAGTACTCTCCTTAATTTTATTAGCCCTACATCAGGTAAATAGTTTTATTCATAATGTATTTGAGGTTAGGTATAAGATAAAATTGAAACAGTTTGTACTATTACTAGCCATCTGACTTATAATTTTTGAAACAGAATAATAAAAATAAAATAGAACTTGGGTATGATGTTACTACACTTTCTATGGCGAGACTAAAGCATTCATAGCCATCAATATTATAATATTCTCAAAAGATAATCTTGTTATATGTATAAAAAACTTCATTAAATAGAGAAAAAACAACATGTCATGGACGATAAGAACTAAAATAAGGTGCTTTATAAAACTTATTCAATATTAACTAATATTTATCAAAGGTTGATCAAAATAATCTTATCCATTTTTTTCATCCTGGGAACTGAAACAGATCCATACAAGGTAAAACTATTTCATGCCAATTAAAAGTTTGTGATAAAATTGTTATCCAATCAGTTTATGACGTAACATCGTTTCGGTATAGTTTTTTCAGTTCTCCAGATATCTGTAGTATCTTTCAATTTGATAACAAAAAAGTTCTATGTACTATGAAGTTTACCCTATAGTATTACCCAAAATATATGCTGTATAAAACTTAAAAATTTTCGAATTAAGAACTTGACAAAATAATGTATCTAATTAAAAGACTGAGGTATTCGTTAATCACTGATCAAATCTGTAATTTAATTTTACACGCCTGGATCAATGTCGCTAAAACATTCTATTCCATACCTTCTCATAAAAGAACTTTATTTCTAAAAAGTTTCACAGATTAAGTAACAAAACTCTCAATTCCATTGATAGATTTATGTTTAAAGAGATATTCCACAGTACTAGACAGAACTGTACGACAACAAAAAATTTAAACTGAATTTCAGTTTTTCCAATATAATCATTTGCGTTTCAATTTCTTCTAGCCTTTTCGCTCAATCTACCTAAACTTTGTCCAACAGCACTTTGGAGTCAAACTGCAATGACTTTTGCTGATCAATCAGTAGTTGGTGAACATCCTGGTAACATATTTATCAATACAAATAATACAATTTTTGTTGTTCATCGACAGAGAAATCAGATCTTAGTCTGGAATGAAAATGATACTCTGCCAAGTTATGATATTTCAGTCGAATTCCGGCTTACTAACTCAATATTCGTTAGAGAAAATGGTGATATTTATATCGGTGATAGTGACGAGAATCGACGAGTACAAAGATGGATAGCAAGTAATAAGACATTTGTCACTGTCATGAAAGTGGCTTCGGCGTGCTATGGTCTTTTTATCGATGTCATCGATAATTTGTACTGTTCAATGCAAAACGAGCATCAAGTGGTGAAAAAGTCATTACATGATCTTGGATTGGTACCGACTATTGTTGCTGGAACAGATATTCTAGGAAAAGCACCGAATCAACTCAACCAGCCTCATGGTATTTTTGTTGACGTTAATTTAGATTTGTATGTTGCAGATTGTGAGAATAATCGAGTTCAGTTATTCCGATTAGGAGGATCAAATGGAATTACAGTTGTGGGTGGTAGTTTATCAAGTCAAACAACTTTACTTAGTTGTCCTCATGCAGTTGTATTAGATGGTCAGAAATATTTATTTGTTGCAAATACGATGGATCATGCAATTGTTGGTGAAGGATTGCATGGTTTTCGCTGTATAGTTGGATGTTATACACATAGCGCAAAACCAAACCAATTGAGTTTTCGGATGTCTCTTAGTTTCGATCGTTCTGGTAATATATTTGTTAGTGATAATAATAATCATCGAATTCAAAAGTTTAGAATCATAAAAAGTCCTTGTGGTAAGTTAAAAATAATCAAAGAACTGCAATATTACGAGATAGTATAATAAGATAAATCGTTTCTAATTCTACAAAAGGTTATACTGGTAAACGTCGAAGATAAAAATATCGAATGGAGAAAATGTTGGAAAAAACGCTACTTTCAACGTATATATTTTTTCGGTCTTCTTCTCATTCGATATTTTTATTTTCGACGTTTACCAGTATAGCCATTTTCATTACTATGAAGATCATTTGTTTAAAAATCACTCATAGTTTGAAATCTGTTCTTCTGATAAATTATAGAAATGGAAATAAATGAGAGAGTATTGATTTTATTTTCTATGATTAATCAGAAGTTTCATTGGAACTGATAGTAGTTTTCCTAGAATTAAATGTTAATTATATATAATTGTGATATTTTCAGATATGGCTTTCAGTCGACCTAAATTTTGTTCGACAGCTATTTGGCATCGTAATGGATTTACATTCGCTAATGAAACAATACTAGGCTCTAAACCTCGTGCTATTGCTATCGATACAAATGACTCTGTTTATTTCATTCATTCAGAAAGAAATGAGCTCTTAATATGGCATAATGGTGATCACAATTCAATACAAAGATTTCCTGATAATTTCTCTACTCCAGCATCAATTACTGTTACAATAGATGATAATATTTATATTGATAATGGTCAACCAAACGGTCGAGTAATGAAATGGACACTACATACACTCACATTAACTACCGCAACGTATGTTTTTTCAACATGTTTTTGTCTCTTTGTCGATATTGGTAATAATCTCTACTGTTCATTACACACTCTTCATCGGATTGTTAAAACACAATTATCTAATTCTGCTAAGTCATTACTCACTGTAGCAGGAGCAGACAATGCAGGATCTAGTTGCTATGCACTTGATCATCCCAAAGGAATTTTCGTTGACTATAAATTAAATTTATACGTGGCAGATTGTGGAAATAATCGAGTTCAAGTATTTCCACATGGAATATATAATGGTATTACAATTGTAGGCGGTAGTTTATCAAATGAAACAATTGGTCTTAATTGTCCAAGTGGAATTGCATTAGATGTTCAGAATTATCTATTCATTGTGGATAGTGATAATCATCGTATTATTGGTCAAAGTCGGTATGGTTTTCGATGTTTATTGGGTTGTTATGGGCAGGGTAGTCATTCGACACAATTATCATTTCCATCAACTCTTAGTTTTGACCGAGTTGGTAATATTTTTGTTTTAGATCAAGGAAATAATCGAATTCAAAAATTTCACTATTTGAAAAACACATGTGGTAAGTTTCGAGCAAAACCCATAGTCTACGCAGAAAATGAACTGTAAAATAATTTTGAAATGTTAGAGTTCAAGAAAAAGTAACACTCTTTAATCGAAATATGCTCAACTATTTTTATATGTTAATAAAAATCGACAAAAAAAAAATGACTAGTTGTAGAAAACATGAAGATATCACACATTAGTTAATAAAGTTTATTGGTTAGACTGATTAATTTGAATAAGGTCAGTCAGTCAAATCCTTTAATTGGTATGTAATAGAATAAGAATTTATGTTATCCCTTGTCATTCAACAATAAAAATCATTGAATCTGGTTAAGAGAATTTTTAACTAAATATGTTTGATTGTAATTGTATCTACTTTTTCCTAATGACATTAATGAGTTCACTCTAATTAAAAGTAAAAGTTTGTTAAAATAAATTACAAACATAATTTTTTCTTTAATGAGCATATTTCAATAGTATTCCTTATTATATTAAATTGTCAATGTTTAAGGTGGTTTTACTTATACTTTAGACTAAATTTTGATTATTTGAAATACTTTAAAGAAATTATCTAATTCAAAGAAGAAGAAGCAACAAGTTTAAAGACGATAAAATATATTTCATTAATTTCATTTTTTTTTTCATTGTATAGATACATCGTCAATTACTGACACGACGTATCCGGGTGCACTGAAAAACACGAGCCAAATATATTTACGAAAATGCAACTCGGAAGAGTTTTATTACGAGGCTTTTGAGATCTCTGTATCAGAGATTTATTATTACACCATACAAAGTAGTAGTGATGCCGATATTGATTTATATGGTTATATTTATGAGAATAATTTCAATCCACTTGCCCCAGCTGAAAATTTACTTGCAGAAAATAATGATATTAGTACAACTCATCGTCAATTTAAACTTGACATTCCTCTTTATGTCAACACTACATATATATTAATAGTAACAACATCTTCTTCTCAAGTTATTGGCGAATTCGTACTTAATTTCCGGGGTGGGAAAAATATCAGTATCAAACGTCAAAGTAAGTAAATATATTCTCAGTTAATATAATTAATATAAATAATGTTTTGATTATTTAAATAGTAATGCCAGTTAATTTTCAACAAAAGTATTCATCCGAATTTACTTTTAAAAGTGTAATGTATTATCGAGATTGTCGAATACCAAAATGTTATTATGAAAGTTTAGAAATCAATGTCATTACAACAGGTTTATATATTATACGGAGTGAAAGTGATATTCATATGTATGGTTATATTTATGAAAGTGATTTTAATCCACTTAAAACCTCAGAAAACTTGCGCTTGCAACATAATGGTACATGTAACAATTATCAATTTAAATTTATTACTAATCTTAAAAATAATACAAAATATATATTAGTTATAACAACATTTGATCCATATACGATGGGAAAGTTTTCGATTTTCATATCTGGTTCAAATAATATTAGCCATCATCGTTTTAGTAAGTAGCTCTATATTAACAATAACGCTATCTGGTATATTGACTTTTAGATCCAAAATCGAGTGATTGTGTGGTTGGCGATCAATGTAATTTTTATGTTAAAAGTATTGGTTTAACTTTAGATGATATTTTACATGATGAGCTTCGTTCAAATAAACCTTTAAGTGATCAATCAACTTCGATTAAATTTAGTGTAACTCTAACAATAATTATGTTCATTGTTGGCTTAATTAGTAGTATTTTATCTTTTTTAACATTCAAAAATAAAACCACACAACAAGTTGGGTGTGGATTATATCTGTTAGCATCATCTATAACTTCACTTTTAACTATTAGTATGTTTACAATCAAATTTTGGTTTCTTCTTATTACTCGAATCAATGTTCCAATGATAAGTTTAACTGTTTTTCAAGGTGGTTGTAAATTTATTGAGCCAATTCTTAAACTTTTGCTCTATTTGGATAATTGGTTTAATGCTTGTGTTGCTATTGAACGAGGATTTCATATTTTCAAAGGAATTAATGCAAATAAGATGAAGAGTAAACATATAGCTCGATGGATGATTCTTATTTTACCATTTTGTATTCTGAGTACTCTTATTCATGAACCAATTTTTCTCAAACCATTTGAATATCCATCAGAATTGAATAGGAATGAATCAAATTATATTTCTCTGAATGGACGAATGTCAGATCGACCAATCCAATGTATCGCTGAATATCCTCGTTCTGTTCAGTATTATAATACGTTTATTCTATTTTTTCATCTTGTAGTTCCATTTATTGCTAATCTTTGTTCCGCTTTATTTATAATCTTTGGTGCTGCTCGACAAAGATCAAAAATTAAAAAAAGTCACAAATATATAGATCATGTTCGTACACAATTAAAAGAACATAAACAGTTGATTGTCAGTCCTATTGCTTTACTTGTTTTGTCTTCGCCACGTTTAATTATTGCATTACTACCTGGATGTGTTAAAATATCTGAAAAATTATGGCTTTATCTTTTGGCTTATTTCATTTCATTTATTCCATCAATACTTATTTTTATGATATTCGTTTTTCCTTCAGAACTTTATATGAAGGCATTTAAACAATCGTTGAATATTAGTTGGTGGAGAATTCATTAACAATAGTTTCTTTTCTTCATCGTTTATAATTGACTTTTCATATGGTTTGCTTTTGTACGCTTTCATCTTATATTGCTTCAATGACTAACACAAAATAAAAGTATCGATATCAATATAGTACCGCAAATGTAATCATCTTCTTACTTTTAACATATATCTATATCTTCGTATTTCATGTTCACTCTTACACCCTCACACCCTCACACCCTCAGTATAAGCGAATTACGTCCAAGAAGACGCTCTTAAGATATTGTTTTCCTAACAAAAAAGTAATTTATACATTTATTTCGCTCTTGATTAGCAGTACTTCTGTACCTTTAGAGAAAGACAAAGTTTAAAAAGAGTATGGAGATCATCTGTTTTACGGTAGTATTGAACCAATAAAGTTCATCTTTTTGCATTTAAAGATTTGTTAGTATTGCCGAAGATTTCAAGTTTGTTTTCAGATTCATCACAAATTTCCACTGAATCATTTGTATTAGATAAACTTAGTTGATTAGCAGGCGGATTAGTTTGAGCTAGAGCGACTGTTTCAGAACTTTCAGCTGGAGAAGTCAGGGGTGCAGGATCTTCTGAAAAAACGAAAAATTTCCCCCAACGCAGAAAAATCAATAAAAAATCTCCCCTTGGTATTCAAACAAAAGAAAGGATTTTGTTCTAAAACCGTTTTCTTAAAGAAAACAAAAGACACTACGGTATGCCCTAAAAAAGCTATTAAATCCTTTAAAGTTCTGTTAGTTATTGACTAGTTCTGGTAATCGTGTACTTGTTCATTTCTAAAACCATTCAAAACAACCGAACCAAGACGTATAAGTTTTCACCTTTTATGCTCTTCGCACTTTTTGTAAGGTTGGCGCAATGCAAAATTCGAGCAAAGTTTTTGTCCTGATTTTTTATGTGATCCGATGCAGTTTGATGTGCTGAGCCCGAATATGTATGATTCATTTAGATAAAAACTGATCTTCAAGCCAAAAATCGAGAAACACGCCTAAAACCCATGATTCCAGAAAATAAGGTTTTCTGCTAGGATTTCGATGATAGAGTCTCGAAAAAATTTACTATAGTTTTGAAAGCGTTTTCTCCCGATTCAGAATCAAAAACTGATTCTAGGAGACTAGTTTTTGATCCATCAGTTCGTATCTGTGTTCCCTCGACTGAAAGGAGGGTCGTGTCGAAAAAAGTGGTAAAAAGACTTAAATTCGTTTGTATGTCTACCTGTCGCAGGTCGCGGGTCAAGTTATATTGATAATAGGAAAACTTCATAAAACATGGTTTGGGAGAGTTGTTGAGGGTGGATGTTGACAGTAGACGGTGGGGTGAAGGTCGGGACCAAGGTTCGATGGTCAATGGTCAACGAAACATTTTTCCGAAAAAGATCCAAAACTTCATAAAACATGGTTTGGGAGGAGTCTTGAGACTAAAAGTTGGTTGAGGAAGGGGATGAGGTAGGGTGGGAGTTAAAAGAACGTCGAACCCTGGTATCAAAGATTCATAGTGGGATTTCATCGTGAGTGGGAAATGGCCAGGTGAAAGAAAGTTTTTCAAAAATACATGTGTGCAAGGAAACGTGTCGTATATTGCAAGTGAAAGATTCATACTTAGAATGTTGATAAGCTGAAGATTTATATCGACGATGTGTTAGAACACGAGAACGTTTTATTATTTCCAAAATGTGGGCTTTATATAGGTTTCAGAAAAGCGCATTGAAAAATCCAACATCATGACACATAGAGAAGATGACGTCAGAAACAAAGATGTATATTTGTAAAACATATGGTGGTCATATAACATGAGAGTGAGGGTGGGTGAGGATGAGGGAGTAGCTGCCTAATTCGACTTATAATATAAGTGACCAATTCCTAGCACCCTTAGGAATAGAAATAGATTTAGTTTCGGTTATACATATATATACCCTCACTCCCAGCACTTGGCGCCCTTCATGGAGTTAGACAGTTTTCGAATTGTACCAGTAAGTATTGTAGCGGATGCTTCTCTATCACCAAATCATACCTATAATCAACTCGTCTCGACTACTACCACTAGCTGTATCGCAGAAAGCCCAGACAAAATGAGTGATCAAATTGAATCTGTTCCGACAGACGTATCGATGATTCCAACTCGTCGCCAAGTTTGTGAGAAGTTTACACTCAATGATGAACAAGCACAAGCTTTTTACATCGTCTGCAGACATGTTGATGGAGAAAGTCATCTAAAGATAGGTAAGAAAGATGTCATCTTTTGTCATTCTTCTATGAAATATTTTCTGTTTCAGGTGGGAAACAACAGCAATTGATTATGTGCGTACCAGGACCTGAGGAACAGGCAAATCTCGTCTCATCGACGCAATCACTTACTATTTCGTTGAAACACAACGAAAAGAAAAACTTCGAAAGCTTGGACCTACAGCAGTGTCGGCCTCACTCATCGGAGGTCATACGATTCATTCTTTCT